GACATCCGGCCGCAGGGTCCGTTTCCCCCCACTCAACCCCACTCACTCCAGGGCCGGCGACTGGAGGTGCAAGCCTCCGGCTGCCGGGTCCGTTTCCACCCCCCCCACTCCAGGACCGGAGACAGGAGGCAGAAGCCTCCGGTCGCCCACTCCCTTCCCCTCCCCCACCACCCACTCCCAACAGGCACTGAGGGGAATGTAGGGTTGCCAGCTCTAAGGAGGGAAATACCTGGAGGTTTGGGGGGTGGATTCTGTAGAGGGCAGCATTGGGCGGGGGGGGGGCGGAAGGACTCAGCAGGTATAATGTCATAGGGTCTACCCTCCTAAAGCAGTCATTTTCTCTAGGGGAACTGATCTCTGTCATCTGGAGATCAATTGTAGCAGTGGGAGATCTCCAGGTCCCACCTGGAGATTGGCAACCCTAGGGGAAAGTCAGCTGCACAGCAGGGGGTTGAAGAGAATGGTTTGATGGCTGCTGGGCCAAGATTGGCAACAATAGTTCCCCAGGAGCCCCATCGTAAATGCACCAAACAATTCCTCAAGATTTTCCAAAACACTACTCTGTTTTGGGCTCCTGGGGAACTTTGAAGTAGCACCAAAGCTTTAAGATCTCTCCAGCTGTCACCTGGAGACTGGCAACAGCTTGTCTGGAGTGTGGGCAGCATGGCATTGTATCTGTCTGAGGTCCCCCTCTTCCTCCTCCTCCTCAGGTCCCACCCTCAGCAGGCTTCATCCCTAAAATATCCTGGAAGTTTCCAACCTGGAGTTGGCAACCCTATGTCCTGGAGTTCGAACCTGGAGTTGGCAACCATCAGCCAACGTTTATCTGCCTGTCTGTCTTTACAACCCCCCCCCCCACGCACACACACACAGCCTCTGCCTAGGGAGCAGCTGACATCATTCTCCTCTCCCAACTGAAAATTCCAACTGCCTTGCGGGGGGGGGGTGAGTTTGAGGTGTGGAATGGAGTGTAGTCCAATCAGCTTCCATATGTAAATGACCTTGGAACGCTGGCCGGGACTGCACAAAGCAGCCAATGAACCCAGCCAGTGTCTTCTGAGTGGCAGTTTTTTCGGCCTAACACTAAAGGGGCCAATTTTAGAATTCTGGCACCCAAAACTCTTTTATAATAAGGGAGAGATGCCACCATTTCCTTGTAGAAGAACCATTTCCTAATTATAAATGGATACCGTCAGTAATCACATTACAGCAATCAGAAGCAGTAACTTTGTGATCTTCCACATGGACTTTCATGGGAAGTAGAGAAGTGGGTTTTTAGAGCTACTGACACCATCAACTAATATATGTATATACATACTTCTTGGGAAAATCATTATTAGTGCTTCTGATCACTAAGTTCTGATGCTAAGTTAAATGTGGTTTAGAATCACAGACAGCATTCTGAAGCAGATCTGGTCGCAATAAGTCTCACTTTATTCAAAAGGGCTTATTCCCAGGAAAGGGTCTTGGGATTTGCAGCCATAGTCATTACATCAAGACAAGCCCAGAATTTGTTGAAGCCATAAGTTGTGTGAACCACAGGGGTGAGTGACCCAAAAGTATTGTCATGTTACAGAGGATGCTACAGGTATGGTGAACACAGTCATCAGTATCTGGAGATGATCCTAACTATCCTGTCCCCAATTCTTCACTTTTGATTTTCCTGAAGCTCAGCAAACAGCAGTGAATGTTTGCTTTTCCACACCCTTTATTGCATTTTTAATAAAACTGGATTATTTAATCAGGGTGAAGAGACTTGAAGAACAGTTGAGGATGAAACCGTTGCTTTAAAGCGATCTGAAATATCTATTATTTTCCAGAGTGACACACAAGCAACATTATTTAGAGTAAGCTCACAGGAAAAATGCTAAGAAAACACTGATATCATCACTTAAGTTGATGGAAACCATTGGAATGCTAATGGTGTGAATTGGCTAGATAGAACATGTCCTTACCTTCACAGGAGGCTTGGTATCATTGGCAATCTCTTTGACTAAGATGCCGGTAGGTGCCGCTGCATACGGAGGTAGACAGGGGTTAAGAACATCATTGTGCTATAGTTTATTCTTTTCCAAGGAGAAGAGAATACGAATTAGCAAATGACAAAACTAAGCAGCCTCTGCCTGAAAATGAGTTGTGAGCTAAAACACAGTTTGGCTTGTGTGCTATGTAAAATGCAACAGAGAACAAAACCATAAATTAAAGAGCTTGCACCCTGTCATACTGGAAGAGAAACACTTTGTTGGTGAACCTCTTTGTGGGTGTGCTCACAAAGATCAGAGGTAAACTTCTTATGAACAACTGGCCCAACCCATTGCAAGTCAGGAGAATTCTAGCATTTCACTTGAAAGAGACCGCTCTGTTTAGCAAACCTGCTGCAGCTTTGGCAAATCTCTCAGCCTGAAGAAATTCTTCCTCCCATGTAATGTTGTTCTCTTTCTGCCTGCTGAAACAGAATGCTCCTGAGCCAGATTTACAAGGACTGCAACAGTCCTACTAGCTAGAGGGAGCTCTGATTTCTTCAGACCACACATGAAACATCACAAGGAAAATGTCTTCCTTTTTCATGAAGAATGTAATTTCCTTAGAACGTGGCAGTGAAATACTATCCAGACACCCCCACATAGAATCTGATCTCAACTATGGGAAGACTCCAAGAGATTGTAAGCTCTCCTCTCAAACCTTTCTCCCACCCCTTTCGTTCTATCAAGGCATGGTATTTTAAGACCCTACACCATGGATTACAGTTTTTAAAACCACAAGTGTTAAAGAAGCTTTATTTACTCAACCACCCACTGACCCACATGCACCTCCCCCCCCAAAAAAAGCAAAAGCTCTGGCTGGGGCAGTCCAACTCCCTTGCTGCCACTACTTGGCAAAAGCAGGACTGGGCAAGTTTATCCACATGTAAAGGCAGGCCTGAGCTGTGTTTTGCCTAAATCAAGAATACAGTCATGCCCTAACTTGAATAGCCCATGCTAGCCTGATCTTGTCAGATCTCAGGAGCTAAGCAGCGTCAGCCCCAGCTAGTAAACGGATGGGAGACCTCTAAGGAATACTAGAGTCAAGAGGCAGAGGCAGGCAATGACAAACCCCTCTGAACATCTTTTGCTTTGAAAACCCTACATAAATACATTTCTGTACATTCATACAAGAATAAGCATTGAAAAATGATTCCACAGTGTTGACAAGCACAGTCCAATAATCTAAAGTTCTTACACAGTAAATCTTTGCGTTTTTCTTGTACTAATATTGGATTGTAGACAAATAGCATAAAGGTAACAAATCTGCATACAGGCTTGCTCCAACACCTGTTTCATAAGGCTTCTTCATAGCAGAATACATGTAGACTCAGTAAATCTTTTCCTACTCAGCATTCAGAGAAAGCATACAGAGAAAAAGCTGAATAAGGGCGATTCTGCATTGGCTTTCCCCTCTGCTGTTTTACCAAATGTACAGCTCAAAACCACGTTCAAATACGCTGGGGCAACGCTGTACTGACTGTGAAGTCACCCTTGAATGGCCATAAATCTATGCAGAAGGTACCATAAAATCCCATGATCAAAGAAAGTGAAAGCGGCATGCAATACAGAGGGGAATATCTGTTCCAACGTGGGTTTGGTAAAACAATGGAGGGAAAAGTAAAAGCCAATGCAGAATTGCCCTAAGAAAAGATTTCGCAGTTTGCTTGGTTTGGATTGCTGACTGAATTAAAAATCCCAATGAAAGACTGATGAAATGGGAAGCAGCAGATTTGATGGATGGCTTACATAAACATATTTGGACTAAAACTGGGAAAACATCCAACCCCCCCCCCCACAATAAGTATTGGCCATGTTATTAGAGACAGCTTGTTGAAAAATTGGTGGTCACTTAACACAAGAATAAGTCCCCTGATATCACCTTTAATGTCCCCACTAGATGCTTATCATGACAAATATGAGAGGAAAACTAATGATTTTATAACATACCAAGATATGATCAATAAACATGGGAAAATCAAATCTTGGCAAGTAATTAATGAAGAACGGGGAAAGATACAATGGTTAACACATCTTCAACTTTCATTAAGGCTGAAAGACGATAAACATTGAGAGTTGACTCAATTTGAAAATATTGTATTGAATCAGACAGACAACCTTTATTGGCATGTAAGAGATAAGATAACATTAAAATTTAAGAATACATCAAAGGTATGGCTGTTGAACAGCCAACAAAAAAGAACTGATCGATTAATAGTTTCCCTGGTTCGAATTACAGATTGAAGAAAACAAGCAACGTTTAAAGTTATAGAAGCATTTTGCCCAGAGAGTAGCAACTGGACCTTGATACTCTCAGGAAGACCACACCATGTAAAACGAAGGGTGTCCAGAAATGTTCCTTGAATCTTAGTATAAAATTGACAATTTAAAAGAACATGGGAAATGGATTCGATATCACCCTGACCACAGGAGCATTGCCTAAGTTCATAGGGGATTTTTTTGGCATCTTCCAAAGAAGATGGCTGATGGCAATAAGTTAGATCTGGCTAACATAAATGCCCTTCTTTGATGGTGATCAGTTAGAGAACAAAAATAAGTAGCTGTCTGGCCCAGTATCTGGGATAATCCCAGATGAACTGGGGAACAGGTTTTCCTGGCTGCCTCAGTCAGGCACTGAAATTGAGTATCTAGAAGCCTGCGTTTAATTGTATAAAATATAGTGGAGGCAGATGATAAGTAAAGCAAGTCTAGATGTATTCCTAAGGACCTAATTTTTGGGGGGACTAATTTCAGCCAATTAGGTTCATAATGATCTGTCAGCATTAAAAATGAATTCGGGTCAGGATTAAACAGAAGGCACAGCCAGAATTTGATGGTCAGAAGCCAGGCCCGAGTTCCTAGCAGCATCTGGCCAGTTTCAAAACAGATCGCAGCGTATGGGACACAATTAGAGAGTAGATTGTATTGAATAAAAAAGATCATCTTTTAGGGCATTTTTATAAATTCCTTTTGCAATATGATACAGAAACAGAACAAGTCAAGACATGTATGGTGAAATGGTCACAAAACTTTGGCAAGGAGATTTCATTTCAGTGTTGGGAAAAGCTTTGGATGAAAGACATAAAATTCACAGCAAGTCAAGCACTTAGAGAGAACTGGTATAAAATGTTTTATCACTGGTACATCACCCCAAAAGACATTGAGAAGATGGGTAAAAACTATAAAGGATTGTGTTGGAAGTGTAAAGAGATAGATGGTACTTTTTACCATATCTGGTGGTCTTGTAAAAAAACGAGCAAATATTGGACGGAAATACATACTGAAATCCAAAAAATTCTGAATATTAAATTCACCAAGTCACCAGAGACAATGTTATTAGGAATCTTACCAGTGAATATGGATAGAGCAATGTATGAATTGTTCAGATACATGCTAACAGCAGCAAGAGTAGTATTCGCAGCCAAGTGGAAAATTAAGGGTTGCAAGACAAGATGCAAGAATACCCAGTTATGGCAAAACTGACAAACTACATTAACCAAAGACTGAAAGATGAATTTGAAAATAATTGGTGAGGTTTTTATTACTAATTTCTTTAGTAATATATTTGAAAGGTTTAATAGTAAACAATAATACTAAAAGACAGTTTTAATATGAAATGAAAAGTGTAATATGTGTTGTTTATTATAACAAACTTGTTTACTGTAACAAACTGTTGTGTGAAATCGCATACAAATTTCTGATGTAATCTATGTTATATAAGAGATAAGACTGATAACATAAAAATGAAAATATAAGTTTTTAAGTTAATAGGTAATATATATTTTAAGCTACAATGTCATTATATCATATACTTTGTTACATATATATTAACATTTTGAAGGATGGTCCTTATTTTCTGTAAAATCACCCTCATAATACGTTTTTGGGGTAATTATATTTTTGATCTTTTTTCCCCTATCCCTTTTCCCCCCAGTATCGGTTGTAATATATTTTTTTTAAAAAAGAGAGGGAAGATTTCACCGAGTGTGAGCATTATGCAGAGAGACAGCATGCAGAGATGAATGCTGAGTAGGAAAGGATTCACTGAGTCAACATGTGTTCTGCTCTGAAGAAGTCTTATAAAACAGGTGTTGGAGCAAGCCTCTGTGCAGATTGGTTACCTTTATGCTATTTGTCTACGTTCCAATGTTAGTACAAAAAGACACAAAGAAGACTTACTGTTTGTAACAACTTTAGATTATTGGACTGTGCTTGTCAACAATGTGGAATCATTTTTCGATGCTTATTCTTGTATGAATGTACAGAAATGTATTAGTATTTGTATTGATCTATTTTTTTGAAAAATCTATAAAAGAGTGATATTCCCTCTGTAAACATATCACGGTTGCCATTAACTGTTTCCTACCTCTTTTCCCATGATCTCTCTTTGGTTATCCTTGAAAACTCTACAGTCAGGGTATTTTTTGTTTTTTTAAAAAGAGGTGCCAGAACTCTCAAGAGGGAAATGAAGTTTTCAGTGTGTATACTGAAAATTCATGAACCTTTAAATATTTTACAAAGAATTTTGTCAAAGAGGTTCTGGAACTCCATTCCATCACCTTTCCCCAGGGAAAAAAACCCCTGCCCACAAAGTCACCATAAGTCAGCTATGATCTGACAGCACTTTCCACCACCAAGAGGTAGAGACTGTGAGGGTGGGGGTTAGGGAGGTGAGGTGAGGGAGTTCAGTAGGAATGTGATGTCATAGACTCTGCCCACTGAAGCTGCCATTTCCTCCAGGGGAAGTGACCTCTGTAGTTGGGTGATCAGTTTTAACTCTGGGAGATCTCCAGGCCCCAGCTGGAGGTTGGTAGACCTAAGAACAGCCTGGCTCTGTTCTGTGAATGAGGTCCATATGCATAAGTATTAATGTCAAACAAGTGACTGTCAATAGTTTTTGATCTTTTAAATAAATGCAAAATCCAGAAAGTTGCCCCCAGCTGGAGGTTGGTAGACCTAAGAACAGCCTGGCTCTGTTCTGTGAATGAGGTCCATATGCATAAGTATTAATGTCAAACAAGTGACTGTCAAGAGTTTTTGATCTTTTAAATAAATGCAAAATCCAGAAAGTTGCCCCCACTTCATCAAAAACAAGCCTTATTTTTGAACAACCAGTAGGAAAATGCTCTACTCGTACAGCTTCCAAACTCACCAATACCTTAAATACAGGTGATGAAGTGTATGCTGCAGAAGAATTAGGATGCTCAGTCTAACAATCAGCAAAATTCTGGCTCTCTTAATAATGGTTTTCACCATCCCTTGCTTTCCCAAGGTAGTTTTTCTGGAGTCATGTCTACACGAGGAGTGTGCCTGGGATTCTCCAGGACAAAAGGCAGTGTGAATGCATCTGAAATATTATATGCTCTGTGTAGATTTGCATGCCTGTTCAGCATATGTGGGTTCAGACACAATTTTGGTATACATATCAACAACTTTTTGCTTTATCATGTACGGTTAAGACACCATCACACGCATCACTGTTCACAAACAGCTGCATGCCACTGATAGAATGCTACCTAAACTTATAAAAATATAATTGCATGCAGCCAATTTTTGTCCAATCATTTATTTTGCACCTTCTTTTATTAACATTTCCCCCCAGTGGAAACAAGATAGAATACTGCACAACTCTGCACAGTTGAAACACTGCAGAGTTTAAGGTTTAAATGAAGTACATTCAACCATGTGACGAATGTTCAGTTCAGTTTCAGTTCAGTTCAAAAAGAATTTAATTTACACTTTAATTTTTAAAAAACATTAAAAAAGACAGTATAACAGAAATGTGCCACATCTATTATACAGTTATTGCATAGAATACTCAGCAGAAGTCTCAACCTTCTAGATTCTGAAAAGGAAGAAAAGTTTAATAGCCATTTCCTCAGGAACTTTTCTCTCACAACTGCATGTTTTGGGCAACAGAAAAATATATGGGCAAGTGAGTCTACAGTTGCTAATGGGCAGTTGCAGTAGCATTGACTTGCTGGGATGTCCTGAAAATGACCCTTCACCTGTGCAGATGGGAATGCATTGCAGCATGCCACCATATGTACTCTTCTCAACTTAGGAACAGATAGTACATATAAATAATGTGGTATGTCAAATCTGATGGAGTATTTAATTCCCACATATAGTGGTGAGCATTTCTGTGTGGCATGCTTTTGTAACGCATTCCAGTCGTGCTCCATTAATTTTTTGTTGAGCACTGTTCTAATTTTAGATGTTACGTTCCCAGTTTTATGTATGCCTAGTTGCTTGAACTTTGTGTTCACAGCGTTATTCCCTCCTTGCCAGTGTCGATCTTGTACTGATAAGGAAGTCAAGGTCGGAAGATTTTCAGCAGCAAACAACCTATATTTATAGTTGACTATAGCTTTCCAAATCAAGGTCAAGATCTTTGGTAACCCTAACTCTAAACGTATCACTGAGGAAGCAATAGATGGTGGCAGAGACAAAATTTTACGAAAAAATGTTAATTGAGTTTTTTCCAAAAGGTCTACCGGACCTGTGAACCATATTGGGGAGCCATACAAAATACAAGGTAAGAGTAAGGCTTGATATGCTTTCATGTGAAGAATGAGACTTAAAGTGCAAGCATATTATGCCATTAGAGTATTATGCTCACAACATTCGTCACACTTCAGAATTTTAAATGATGCCTACAATAACAGTATGTTCATAGACAGAGAGACATTCATGTTTATTTACCTTGTGTAAAAGAAGGAAGTTCTTCAAACTTTTTGCTACTGGTTTTCTCTGTTGAAATTTCTTCTTTCCTACCAAGTAATTAATAAGCACTCAGTAAGGAACACATGCTAGTTTTATAATTCGTCATGTATACAGCATGGTGCTGCGAACTTTCCTATGCCTAATTCATATAGTAGCCATAGCTACACAGCAGACTGTTTAAGTGCAACACAGTGACCCAGTTCCTCTAGGCCACTGTAAACCTTTCTTTTTAGATATTTTGTGATGGGATGGAAATAAATTGTTGGTTCATGTGATAAACTACTACTTGAAAGGCAGCATAAGAGGCACCCAAAACACAACACCCACTTAGGCCTTGCCTGTCTAACTGCAATAAAACACAAGCTCTGAAAAACATTTTTTTTATTATTATTTGGTTATTTATAGTCTGCTTTTTGTGCTGAGACTCGAGGTGGACTACATAGTGTAAGCCAAGTACAATCAGCAGAATGGGACATCCACTGAACAATACAATTGCATTTGGATTACAGATGTCTGAAAACAAACAGAAAGATCAAATAGCTCTAGTTTTCCATCTGCTTTGGAAAATTATTCTAATATCATATATGGCATCTTGGGTGGTTGTCTGTCAGAATCGGACCCTTGCCTGGTCATTGGGTCACTATACATGCATGTTTGAGTCTCTGATGTACATAGCTTTGCTTTGCTGAATGTTATCACATTTGCTTATGCCTTCTTCCCTGTTTGCAGTTTCCAATCTGTTTCCAATCTAGGTTTCAATCTGTCAGCAAGTATCCTCCTGGGGGGGGGATTGAGACCAGCCTGTGTGAATGTAGATATCGGCGCTTAGGAACCCTGTGAAGTTGTACCTCCCCCGGGTCGGCCATGAGAGAGTTTTGCTTTTCTCATGGCCTCGGGAGGATAGTAATTGATAAACATTCCCATTGAGTTAATTGAACTGTATTAACCTGTAACTTTACTATGCAATGCTGATGTATTTATGAGGGCTGGACCAGAGGTCCTGTAGTTTCTAACTTTGAAGTATTTGTCAGTTCTGTCAAAGCGTTTGACTTGTTTGTAACTTTCCTGACTTTCTACAATAAAGCCAATTAAAGGACTTATTGCATCTGAGAGTTACTACCCTGTCTGACATTGTCATAGATATTTGTGGACTTTGAACGTCAACAAACCTACAACCCATGTTCATGTGTCTTTAAGACTGGGAATGTAATGGTTCTTCACTATCTGCACATGGGGAAAAACAGTATAGTATAGAAGAATAATATGCTAATCGGCAAAATATTCCAACACTAACAGCAGGTTAAAGGATACAGAATGTGAGGTACCCATTTCCAACCTAAATTAAGATTGTATGCATGTGTGTGTGTGTGTTTTATAACCCTCCATCCCCTGCAAGCGGGCTCGGGGTGGGTCACAACAGGTCATTTCACAGTAGTAAAAACAATATGAATATATACAATTTAAATCCAGTTTTAAACCAATTCAGAATATGATGGCAGTCCAATTCATGGTAGTCCAGAGTGTCTCCTGTGTGGATGCTGGCTAGATGGTTGATAAGGCATTCAATTCACCGTAAGATGCCGTGCAGATCTTTTTAGCACCGTAGGGCCATTAAGTGGGACAGTACGAGCAGGGGAGGCCAAAATGGTTGGACAACTGCCACCTCAGCTGAAGGTCTGCTGAAACAGCTCCTTTTTACGGGCCTTGAGGAATTTAGGGCCCTGATCTCTGGTGGGAACATGTTCTACCAGGCCAGGGCCAGGGCAGAAAATGCCCTGGCTGAGGCTAGGCAGACATCTTTTGGGCTGGTGACTACCAAAAGGTGTTGATCTGCAGTGCAAGGCTCTCTGGGGCACAAATGGGGAAAGATGGTCCCATAGGTATATTATTTTATACCCTTCTGAGTCTATTGAAGTTAATGGAAATAGAAGGCTGTAACTTTTCTTATAATTTTACTATAAATCCATCATAGGGAAAGCCTATTACTTTTGTATTATAGATGTTCAACAAAATAGCAGATAAAGAGAGAAAGCTTGATTTTGCTAAAGATAGTATCAGTTGTTAAGGAGCGATAAGACAGAAATAACTGCTTCACACTGAAACAGGCTAAATGGGTTTTCAAAGTTGGGGCTATCCAACTCTCTAAATCATCACTTCTGTAAATGTTGGCTACCTGCTTCAGGACTTTGGCACATTCAAAGCATGCTTACTAAGCTAAGGAAATATCAGAAATCAAGCTGGAGTGATGGGGAGGGGGAACTGCAAGAAGAAAAGAAGTCTGGGCATCAAAAGGAAACCATGTTCTTCTCTCTTTTTCTCACCTAAAGATTTCCAAGGACGATAATTCCAGGACTCCAAAGTCATAATGTGGATATAAGTATGTTATTTCCATACAGTAGCCCTACCATAATCTTTCCTGCATGTTCTGATAGCTACTGAAGTTCACTTTAAGATCTTAAGGTTAGATCTTGTTAGATCTCAGAAACTAAGCAGGGTTGGCCCCAGTTCTTATTTGGATGGGGACCAACAAGGAATAGCAGGATTGCTATGGAGAGGCAAGCAATGGCAAACCACCTCTGAATATCTCTTGCTTTGAAAGTATCCCTAAAATGAGCAATATAATTCCTTAAATGACCAATCACTTAAATAACCTTTAAATGAGCAATATAAAAACATGTAATCCCATATACCAATTTCCATTAGGAACATTTGTACTTTGCTTAAAAGTGTTGCTCATGGGATTCTTCAAAGTTTGTAGTCAAATACTGCACTGCTCACCCAAGGTGATCACTTAAGTTGTTAAAATGATCTGTGTAATGAATAAGTAGGAGGATCTAAGAACTGACCCTTGTTTGCTCCACAAACAGGGTTTTTGGAAATGTGAATGAAAACTACTGAATGCTATATTTAAAATTATTTGTATAACAAAAAGAATAAACAGAAGCAACCCCCCACACCTACGTAACTTCAACCTTGATCTTCCCCATTACGTTTCTTTTGATGTTGCTGCATATTTATTTTTTTAGAGTGATTCCAGTTTGAAATATATTCAACCCACAACAGCTAATGCCTGAATATTCCTCTAAATGTCCCTGCCACAAGGTTGAGAACAAAACCTAAGATACATTGTTTGGAACATTACTATTCTGGACATTTCTGCAAAATTGATTAGAGCAGTAGAATGAATTAATTCTGACTAAAACATGAGCAGAGGATGGGTCTGAATCTTAGGTGTTTAGGCGTATCACTCATGAAGATTCTTCAAAGAGACCACATGACTGTATCAAAGCACCTGTGATAGTCTGCATGGCATACATGTCATCTACTTTGAATCATGGATCTTAAATAAACATGAGCAAAAGAATCCATTATTATAAATGTGCATACATTACATTTTGTTAATAAAAAGTGACAGCATCAACAGGTAAATACTATATTTTTGGTTTACTTACCTGTCCTGGAAAGCTCTATGTTTTACTCGCTGCAAAAAAGTTATTTAAAAAAGAGGAGAGGATTAGTTGTGAGTTTATTCAGCCACAAAACAGAAAGCCCCAATTCTTTATGTTGCCTTTTATTATATAGTTACTCATTCCAATGTCATTCTTAAAAAAACCCTTTTAAAAAGCCCAATGATGACTTTTTAAAAGAGATATTGCTCTGGGCTGGAAAATGCATCCCTCAGCTCTTACCCGTTGAATAATCTCCAGATGCTCTTGAGAATTACTGAAGTTTTTCCCAATGTCAAATATGCAGAAAGTCTCTCGCTGGCAGGCAGCAACCCAGTTCTGATACTCTGTTGCATCTGGAATTCGGTCCAAAAAGATCCGGAAGGCTTCCCATACAGCTTCCTGGCAAACTGAGACAGCAGAATAAGAACACATGTGCTTTACTAAGCACAACTTTTTATCCAGTTTTGATAACAAAAATCTCAGTGAATCATAGAGTCATATAGTTGGAAGGGACCTCCAGGGTCATCTAGTCCAACCCCTTGCACAATGCAGGAAATTCACAAATACCTCCCCCCATCCCCAGTGACCACTGCTTTATGCTGGGGATGGGGGGGGGAAACCCTCCAGGATCCCTGGCCAAACTGTCCTGGAGAACAATTGCTTCCTGACCCCAAAGTGGCAATCAGCATTTCCCTGGGCATGTAAGAAAGAGATTATCTGACCCAGAGATCCTTCAGATGCATCATTATATCCCCCATCCACAGCTTATGTCCCATAAAACACTCTCCTCCACCAGTGATGCCTGTTGCTCTCCTTGCACAAATTTCCCCAATTCTGTGAACACCAGCATAATGCAGATTGCCTCCTCCTACTTTGGGAAGAGAAAGGACAATCAGTGGTTTTTGTAGGTAACAGCTTTTTCTCTTTCTGGAATCTATCAATAAGTACAAACCTTTTTCAACTGCTGACCGTACTTCATTGAACAGAAACTTTTTAAATTGTTTCAAAGATAATTGACCAACTTCTGTATTTTCTAAATCCATATCCTCAATTTGTCCTGCAATTAGTTCCTCGTTCTTCCCTGCCAGCATCATTTTATTATCTTTTACTCCAAGTCTTTAACTAACCGCATTCCAAAAGTTTGGAGAATCTCCTGTGCAGTTAGCTCAAGGGGGTCTTCACTGAGTTATCTAGAAATTATACGCTACTCACGTTCTTGACTTCGTTGTATATTGTGTTGATGAAAATCCAAAGTTAAAATGGGCGGTTGCAGCTGAGAACATGGTGAACCATGTTGTTCCATTCTTCACTCCTGTGTCAAAACAGCTCAGTCTCGCCCCATTCACCGCTGTTTGTGGGGCACCTGGTCAAGTTTCTTGCTGCCAAACCTCCCTCTGTGAGGCTTGGTGATCTCCCAATGTGCACTAGGACCCTGGGGGTTCCAAAAAAGCGATGAAGGACAGGGCTAGTCAGGAGCGTCCTGACTAAGCACCCACACATTGCACCATTGCCTGGAACCTCTGTAAAAATGCTTTTGAGAGTCTACAAAAAACAGGCTTGGAATGTACAAATGAAGAGGAACTACTACAGTCTCAGTGGAGTGCAGAGGATTTAAAGAGAGAACAAAACTATAACCAAAATAAGGAGATGCAAGACATGCCTTTTGTAGACATAAGGCAAATATCCGGAGAAGTGAGACTTAAAATTTTTTCCTTGGAGGTGGGACTGGCAAAAAGCGAAACTGAAGAATTAATGCAAGGAGAGACGTTTAAGGTGGCCAAAAAGGGAGCAAGATGCCCTTCAGGGAAAAGTATAGAATATAAAAGGGAAATGAAGACAGAACAGAAGAGACAGAAAAGGCAAAGCATGGAGGCAAATTAGGACACTTAAGTAAGAGGGTGTTGTTCTGGAAAATAAAATCACTTAAGTATGATTAAGAAGAGAAGGTTGTTCTGGAAAACAAAGCGAAAACAGGCAACGTGCGTTTGGAGACAGAACAACTTTTTAATATCTTTTATAATCTGCACGAAATGATTAGACATAGGTGATGTGTCCTAATGGCAGAATTGGCAATGTCTATTAAATGGTAGAATAATTGCCCAAATTGATAATTGTAAAAAAGGATGGCTAAGATGGAAATGGAATTCTTGTTTTTGATTTTTCTTTATAGCTTAAATATATTTTCTGATTATTATTTGCACTTGCATTGTATTGTCAACATAATTAGTAGAGGGTGGTAAAATGTGATTACATAATTAAAATAAGGAGATATTAATTATTTTAATGTAAATAATGTCAAAGTAATTAACAATAAGAAACACCAAGAGGGAATGAGATAGATGGTAGAAAGACTTTTGAACAGGAGGTTATATATAATTTATAAGAAGACAAATTAAAGACATAGAAAGACATAGAGGGAAAAAAACAGGAAATAACTGTTTATTTTGGTATATTTTCTTGGTTTACCAGGTTATGATTAAATACTGTACCGGGATATGATTAGAGTAGGACAATAGAAATATAAGGTATAAATTTTGGATACATATTTGAAGAAGAAAAAGAGAAATATTATAACTTTAAAGAAAAGAGACAGGAAATAAGAAATTCAGGCTTGTTATTTGACTGCAGTTTATAGGAAACTGGAATATGTTTAAAAGGAACAGAAAAATAGAAGGAATAAATCAATTTGGATTTGTTTATAGATAAAAGGTACTATGGATGAATTTATGCTTAAATAACTGATTGTTGTTGGTGTTATGTTATGTGTAAGATATAGGTGTTAAGATGGATTTTTAAGGTTGTGCGATAAAATACTAACTGATTATATTTGTATAAACACCAAGTAATAGAAATGAAATCCTGATGAACTTTATATTTGGGGTGGACATAATTTTCTTTATAGTTATTGTCAGAAATATGTGCTGAAATGTATGTTGATCTTTCTTTAGTGAAACGTTTTGTATAAAATGATATGATTTACCTTTGTTTACTATAGTAAAACCAATAAAAAGATTATTAAAAAGTACAAACTAGTTAGGAGAGAAACTCTTCTGCTTCTAGGAAGAAAGCCCTATTGAATTCCAAAGGCTGCCTGATAAAATTCCCTAGTATGTACACTTTGGATTATAGCCTTACCTTTGTGATACTTAGTACATTTACTCAGCAGAAATTTTGTATGAGTTTGCTAGGGTTTTCTTCGAAAACTATTCCAATAATCAGGTGTTCAGATAATTGAGACTGAGGTTTTGTCAGGTCTTGAACAGACCTTGCTCCTAGCAACATTCTCTTGGCAGTGATTTGTTTATTGAGAGATAAAGAGGTTTCAAGCATAGACGAAGCTTTGTCAGAACTGACTCCCTTGGTGTCAGTTCTCTTATTATACACAATTCAAACAATCCCCCCAGTAGGTCAAGCACACATTCTTCCCATGGAAGGGAGGCCCTGCATATGACTACTCCCAGCAAAGCGGGTCCACACAACCACACCCACACACACACACACTCACATGCTCCCCCCTCCCAGCCAGAATGAAGCAGGACGATAAGCATTCAGAGCCAAATCAGATTGCCAGTTAAGAAATCCATGGCAAACGAGGCCCAAGTTCGACAGGTTTGCAAAGAACTACACCGATGAAGGGAAGGACTAAACTGGTGACAGCAAATTCAGGCTATGTACACATAGTTTTTCAAGTATTTGGAAGCACTTTGGTAGTGTCATCATTGCTACCTTTGAGTACACCCAGTTCATTGTGGTATCCCACCATACATTCTGGGGGATCTATTTTTGCAGTGCTTCAGTTCATATGATTTGGAAAATGTATAGCTACTGGGGGGACAAAGACTTCCCATTATAGTGGGGGACCTCCTGGCCCCTCACCTCTGCTAGCCACTGCTGTCTCGTGCAGCAGCAGAAGAAACTGTGGAAGACAAAAGTGACATTGCGCTGATGTCACTCTTGGTTGCATAACAATCCTCCCCCATAGCAATTCCCCCATATTACTAGATTTTTAAGGGGATTGCTGGAGCGTTCCATAGATTCCGAAAACCACTCCTAGGCTGTGGCCACACACACTAAATAATCCACTTTTAATCCACTTTCCAACTGGATTTTGCCAGTTCACACAGTAACATCCAATTGGAAAACTGAAAGCAGAAAGTCCTAGTTTTGTGACTGGAAGTGGCATCGTGTGATGCCTCATGACCTCTGGCTCCACCTCCAAAAGCTCTGGGGGATTCCCAGCCCTCAACTGCAACCCTAATTTGCTACTCCATTCCCACCCAAGGAATTCTCAGTGCTAATGCAGTAACCTACATTTTGGTGTGACCATGTCTGCCCCCTTTTGGAAGTAACAGTTCCCCCACTCTCCTGCCTGAAGAACGTTTGGATTTTTAAAAAAGAGTGCTTAAAAACTGTATTTAAGGAGATGAAAGGAGGGGAAGTATCTACTGATTCACACGGCTGGTCTTGTAGTACTTGAAAATGAAGTCGATAGCACAAGGGCTTCCGCTTCCTCACAGCAGTGCCATGCCACTTCAAAAGCATTGTCTTCGTTCTTTAAGCATATCTTGTTTCTCAGATGAGCTTTTTTCTTTGCAGCAAGACTGCCTCTCTCCTTCATTACATTTTTACAGTAACCAAAATACTGAAGTAGCTTCAGGTTGCCATTTGCAAAGGGAAATCACTTCCCGTCGCTCCACAGACACTGCCTGAGATAATCAAACTTTGGATAATGAGGGTTCTTGTGTACTGAACTGCTGTATGTCTCCTCTCTACGCTATGAAACTGATAAGCAAAAAGGCACTAATGTCCATAGGGTCCATTATGTGATACCTTTAGGGTTTTAATTCATGCTGAATTCTTTTATGCAGATTCCCCACTGAGTGACTCCCTCTTTGTATTTGTGTTCTAATTGGCTAAAAAGTTAAGGTGTTCTTTCCCAATGATGAACAACAACTACATGCCAAAACTGTAGCAATGGTGGAAAATAACAGCTCACGCAGCTGTGAAACAACTGCTGGTTCCTGTATCACTTGGGGAAATAACCGCAGCCACATGCAAAAAACAAAGAAGGCTGGGGAGAAGCTTCCTAACAAACACACAGTAGGCTGAAGATTGCCTGGCCCTAAGGAATGGCTCTGGCAGCAGCTCTGCTCAGCAGGCTCCATTGGCAGTCACTCACAATTAATAGGACAAGCACTACAAGGAGGAATAACGTGCCTGCAAATATTGAACAGCCTGCTGTTCAAAATTGAATGCATGCATGTCAGACTACACCAGCCTATTAATTCACTGCTAACAAAGAAAAGCCGGGAAATTTTGCTGCATCGCACAAACCAGTTTGATTCGCTTCAAAGGGAAACCAGGCACTTCACAGACAAACACTTATGTTGGAGTTCAATGAGCGTAA